AGTTCTGCAGGGATTCCTTCCTCTTTTACTTGTTTCGTGTTTCGATAAAGAAAAAGAGGCAAGCCCCGGGTTTCTCTTCAGTTCTTCATGTATGCTCACTTTACCTGATCATCCTTTAGACTTAACCTTTATGCACTTTAGCTTCGCTCTTATTAGAGTTAATCAGCAGTTTACATCTACCATCCCATTCAGGGTTTGAACTTCAGACTCATCTCATGGAAGTTTGGCAGTGTGTGAGTAGTAATATGTCCAAGGTGATGTTGATTGGACTGACTGTGCCAACCAGCTTAAACATGAGCTCACCTGAATTACCCAATCGCAATTCGTAGATATCACCTTCGATGGTTGGTAGTCAGCCAGTTCATTTGACCTGAGAATAACGAAGGAAAACTAAGGATACTCCAGTCGAAAGCCTTCCACCGTTTCAGGTCTTCCATGCATAATTAGTTCACAACGTGTCGTCCCACGTAAATACTCTTTCTGATACTTTAATACATTCACTACTCCACGGTCAACGTGCAAAGTTACATTAATATTCGAATATATTGACCCGCTTATGATTTGGAATCAGCCTAATGCAGTACAATGCAATGTAATACACTTTAATATTTTCCTTAGTGGACCGCCAAAATTATCCTTTTGGTGCTTTTGTTCGGCTAGATTTAATTTGCTTATCAAAAACTAAATTTTATTCTTTTTTCGTCACCGTGCTGTCATAAAACTTGTATTGACTATTGCGTTTATCCAAAGCTTGCAGGCCACCTTGTCCATGGACACGAATCAAACCGAACTGTAAACTGCTGGATGACATAAACCGACGTTTGAGAAAGTGTGCTGAGGACCAAAGCCAAGCCAGTCGTTGGTGGTTGCACTGGAGCTCCCGAGACTTGCACATACGCCATATGCTTCATGGAAAACGTGTTCTGGCCCGGAGACGAGAAGACGGACAATTTTATGAAGGACTCATTCACGAAGTGGTCAGTATATGTTTCACGGTAAAGTGTGATCACAAAATCCTATGAGGTGTTGAAATTAACCGGTTGTCCATAGGGCGAGTTGTTGCAATAGACTCGAAAATGAAATAGATTGGATTTCGCACGATTTCAGCTGAATTGTTCAATGCTATAGTAGGTTTCAGTTAGTGGCATTTTTAACGACATTCTGAGCCAGTGAACACGGTTTGAAGCGCGTCGTAAATGCCGCCTGAGGAATACGTTTAGTGAAAATTCAAAAGAAAAAAGCAACCCATAGGTATAGGTTGCACAAATCCACATATGTAAAATCTCTATTCGACCTTCGGCTACGAAAAGTCACAAAAAATCTATTTCAAAAAGAACTCGGAATAAAGATATTCGTGAAACAAAACAACATAATAATAGTTATTCATTCATTTTCGTTTTATAACTTGAATATATAGATGTCAGCCCTCATAAATGTGTTACAAATCTTTAGAAGTATCACATTTTGTGCCATGAATTGATTAACAATTTTTCTGTTAACGGAACAACCTCTTTCAGTTCATGCCTCAGAAAAACGTCAACTTGCTAATACCGGTAGGTGGATAGCTCACACTTCTGTCCTATCAGATACGCTGAAATAACAATATCATGCAGCCAGTTTCCCTTTAACAATTTCATGGGAGCAAGAAAAAGTATAATGATCACAGGATGTGTTGAATTCAACTATTTCGTGGTAATCTCATCAGCTGTGTACATACATTCAGATCACGTTTGGTTAAAAGAGTGACCTGTCACTCTCCTGTGATCTTCTTGCTCTCATGAAATAACAATAGTTACACCATAGCCAGTCGGAAAAACTCGGTTAAAGTACACCGGAATCGGTTTGTTGGTCATAAAACCTGAACTATGTCCACTACGATCAGCCGAGGTCAATTTCGCAACGAATCCCGTAGCTTGCATGCAAACAAGTAACTACCGGAGAGAGGGTGATAAAAACCAATAACTGCAGTGACTTGCACACGGATAGAAGCAAAATCGAAAGATGATGTTTGGAACGATACAGATTGCACCGTTAATGACGTAGCAATGTGAACGTACAAAACAGATTTTGAAGAACAATTTTTATCTGGTAAATCTCAGACGTTGGCCAATCATATTTGCTTAAAGTACATGACCAGGATCACGGGGAACCTTGGTTACAAGCTGAGGTACGGAGTTCGTGCACTATGGTATTTTTCGCGCATACACCATGCCGAGATTAAGGATGAAATTCAGTCTGGCAATTATCGATCGAGGATGGACTCATAGTGTGCATGCAAGCACCACGGAACAGCGAGTAAATCATTAATAAATCACACTGATTTGCAACAGGAGGTTAACACTAACCACCGCTTAAACGGTGAACACCGTGGCTGATTCCTGCGTCGTTGGCAAGCCGCCTGGCTGGCTGTATTCATGGTAATCGTGTGCAATACACATACACAGGAAGCTTGTCCTTATATTTGTTTCACTTATGATTTTCAAAGCGTATTTCTCTCTTCTAGTCCTAAAGAGAATATGGAGCTAGCTTTTATACTGAACAATGCTGTACTGAACGAAATCCCGAAAGTAATACTAGCCATTATCATCATCTCTTGTATCAAAGGAGCATGAAGTCAGCATGACTGGTTTTTATTTATAAAATTATCTGCACAATGCATGAAAGCACAGGGGAATAACGGTAATTACAATCGCAAACATCCACCTGACATCAGTGTAATCTTACCAACCGACAAAGTGACTGGTTCAGTCTTCAGGATTGAGGGTAGAGGGCAGGGTGGCCGTGTAAGCCACATCACCTCTGGGTCGAAGGTCCGATCACAAGTGTTCGTTCCTCCATAGCCCTTTCAGGTGCCCATCCAGACGCCGTTTAGAAGCAGCGTCTGTCTTCTCTTCCACCAGAATCGAAGGAATGGAAGGAAGGGAATTCCAGAGTGTTGTTGGCCTATGCCAGAGTCGGTAGACTAACGGAAGACTAACTGACTGAAATTTCCGCAACGTGAGAGGGTGCCCCCGCGTGCAGTGCTCTGCCCGTAAAGGGAAGTACCGTTACAGCTCGGGACCCATATCACCTCTCAGGATCTTCCTCAGGCAGATGAGACCTCCTCTGAGGCGTCGATACGCAATTGGGAACAGACCAGTGGCCTGTAGACGATCTTCATAGCTGGTCCCGCGCAGTTCAACAACGAGTCTATTGGAAGCACGTTGTACAAGCTCCAACTTAGCCAGTTCACCGGCCGTGCAGGGGTATGTCGCCGCACCACCATACTCAAGTTTTGGTTTGACATGGGGAGCGTACAGCAGCCTGAAAGCGCCCATCTTGAGCTGGTTGAAAGACCGCCGAATAGGCCCCAGAATGCTCCATGCGCTAGCACAGACCCGATCGGTGTTTTCTTGGGTCTTTAGTGATGAGGTAACCATAACACCCAGGTCTCGTTCGCACAATGTTCTGCGCAATGTGGTTCCCTGGACGTTGTAGACTACCTCTGAGTCAGTACGCCCCAAATGCAGGTGAGCACACTTTGCTCTGGTAACTGCAAGAGCCCAGGTGTCCGCCCACTGAGTCAGGTTGTTCAAATCCGCTTGAAGAGAACTTCGATCATTCTGATCCTTGATTGTACGCCAGATTTTGATGTCATCCGCATACATGAGGGATGGGCTGCACAGTTGACCAGGCAGGTCGTTCAAATATACCACAAAGAGCAATGGACCAAGTACCGAGTCTTGGGGGACCCCACTGGAAGCGGAATACCACACAGAGAGCGATTTAACAACACGGACGCA